TAACGCCAATTATTGAAAAATACCTGCGAAAAGATGATCGACGCACACAACCTCTTCGTCGATTTCAAAGCAACTTTCGACAGTACAAAAGAAGCTCCCTCTATCCCGTAAAGTTTCAATTTAGTTTTCCCGCAATTCTTATGCGGCCGTAAAAACTGACGGAAAGCTTCGTCAGGATGAGGAAGAACCTCTCAGAGCCGTTCGATTCCAAGCGAGATTTCACTGGCCTCAACAACCGCATCGTGAGTTCTGCTTCCGCCAGGCAATATAAGCAGACGAATGGTATGGGTCGCGACTTGGTGCTCCAACGTTAATGTTGACAGTCATAATATTGAACTCGTAGATGATTTCGTCTATCTAGCCAGGATCAACACCAATAATAATGTCAGCTTTGAAATTCAACGCAGAATCAATATTGCCAAAAGTTGCTACTTCGGACTAAGTGGTCAACTGAAGAGCAAAGTTGCTCTCTCGGCACGAAAGGGTACAAGTCGTCAACATTCCCCTTCTGTAATATGGTGCGGGCATGTAGACGATAACAATATCTGAAGATTCGTCGCTAATACAATAGTTTTCGAGAGAAAAGTTTTATGGGAGATTTGTAGTTCTTTGCGTCAACGATAAGCTGTTCAAGTTATACGACACCATTGACATAGTACAGCGAATCAAGAGAGATTGAAGATCGAAGGGATGAAAACTGTCCAATTTTGAAAGCTTTTGGTGCAGTACCGTCCGAAGAAACGTGGGAACGGGAAGACCTTCGCTCCGTTGGAGAGAACTGACAGTATTTGATATTTTCAACTGACGCAAAACAGCAAAAAGAAGGAAAAAACGGCGCGTTGTTTTCAACTTGGCTAAAATCGTTTAACCGATGTCTATGTCAGCAGAAAGGAGCAAAAACCTAAATTGAGGAATTGAAACTATTTGCCGAACGTTGTGAAAGGTTTCAGGCATTTAATTAAATACCAGATTTTGATTGATAAAAAATTGAAGAAAAAGTAATTAGAAAAGCTAAGTAAAATCATAATTAAAAAACAATTTATAAATTAAAATTTCCATAAAAAAATATTTTTTTAAATTCATTTTTTAATTTTACCTTTTTTAATTTTTATTTTATTTATTTTAAATTACTTTTACCTCGAACACATCAATTATTCAATGCAATTCAATTAATTTCGCGCATATTATAAATTGTTTGTACAAATAATCGCTTAAATCAATTAAACTGAAAGTAGTAATAATAAAAGAATAAAAATAAAATATTAGAACGAAGAAAAAAAATTAAAAAAAAAAATAAATTTTAAAAAATTAAATTTAAAAATATATTTGCTTACGCCGGCTTACCTTAATCAAATGAACACCAGTAGCAACCCACACAATTCATTAATTAAATTTGTGTGTATATATATTAACGTTTGTATCAAATATTTGATTAATTAATGTAAATATGCGAAAAAGCGTGTACCGGATTAGGAAATACAAAGCAAAAAAAAAAGCAAGAGCTACAGTTAAAGCAAAAAATTTATTTGAATGTCACTAACAAGCTTAAAAAATTAATGAATTTGCATATCTATATGTACATATGTATGTATTGTATTTAAGCTTTTAATTTCAACACACTCATCGAATTCGCAACGAATTGATTTGCGAAGAAATAAGAAAATTGAGAAAAAATAGTAAAAGCAAAAATAAGAGAATCTTTTTTTTTTTTTTGATAAAATCGTTATTAAGCTAAGCCCGAGGCAGTTGTGAACGTTAGTGCTGCCAGAATCCCCAATGCGAAAAATGTTATCAATTGATATTTAAATAAATAATTTTCGTGAAAATATAAATGTACACACTAAAAAATTCACAATAATTTCACCTTGAGTGCAAATATTTACTAACTACTCTTGACCTAGAAGACAACGCTACAGCGAGTTTAAACTATTATATATATATATATATATTATATATTTTTCGCACATTTTTTATTAAAAAAAAACGAAAAGAATTCTTCACTATGTTGTTAATCACTTGAGTAATTTTGCGCATTCATTTTCATTTCTTTAATTTTTTTTTTATGTTTTTTTTATTTTAATTTTTTTAAATTTTTTTTTATTATTTTTTTTTTTTATTTTTTTTTTATATTTTTTTATTATTTTCTTATATTATTTTCCTCATCCATACGAGTATATGATACATCTTACATATCTATGTATGTAAATATCTAATGTTCGTTTGTAAAGATTCGCAAAACTCCAAAAGTTACAGACCAGTTGACTTGATTTTCTGTAGTTCTTGGTAAGGATTATATGTGAAATTAAAAAATCGGTTTTGCTTAGATTAACAGGAAGACATGGTCCGGAAAGTGGGCCATGGACTGACCTATTCCAAAAAATCTTATTTGTGGTTTGGTTTATTTGAAATTCGATTTTGTTTAGATTTTCTCTCCGGGATGTGGACCATGGACTCACCCATTCCAAAAAATCTTATTTATGGTTCTGTTTATTTGAAATTCGGTTTTGTTTAGATTTTCTCTCCGGGAAGTGGACCATGGACTCACGCATTCCAAAAAATCTTATTTATGTTTCGATTCAGTTGAAATCCGGGGCGCCCACTCTTCGGGTTCGGTTTTTTGAAATTCGCTTTTGTGTAGATTAATAGGAAGACTACTCTTCTCTTCGAGAAGTGGACCATGGACTCATCCATTCCAAAAAATCTTATATGTGGTTCGATTCAGTTGAAATCTGGAGAAGACTACTCTTCCCTCCGGGAATTCGACCATGGACTCACCCATTACAAAAAATCTTATTTATGGTTCGGTTTGTTTGAAATTCGGTTTTGTTTAAATTTTCTCCCCGGGAAGTGGACCATGGACTCACCCATTCCAAAAAATCTTATTTATGTTTCGATTCAGTTGAAATCCGGGTAGCCCACTCTTCGGGTTAGGTTTATTTGAAATTCGGTTTTGTGTAGATTAACAGGAAGACTACTCATCTCTCCAGGAAGTGGACCATTGACTCACCCATTACAAAAAATATTATTTATGGCTCGGTTTATTTGAAATTCGGTTCAGAGGTGTCTTTTGCTTAGATAAATAGGAAGACTACTCTTCTCACCGACAGAATACCAGGGAGATGTGTTTGAAATCCGGTAGGCGGCTTTTTGGCTCGACATAAGAACAGATCGTGCGTAAATAAGTTCGGGTTATACGTTCAACTTGAGTGGGAATAAGCATAGATCCGAGTGGTGCATTTGGCGGCTTACTTCGGACATTCATTTTGACATTTTCGTGAAAGAATTTGAACAGCGAAAAAGTGACCCACACATACAAATAAGTAGTTGGATCAACAATATAATAGAAATCTGAATATTTTGACTTAGAAATATTACTTTGCAATACCAATTAGAGAGAAATCGAATAAAAGACAGAATACCACCCGAAGTTGAAGCTGGGTCTACTAGTTTTCTCATAACTTGTTTTATAAAATTTTTTCTAATTTTTTTTTATATCCACTATTTTTTTTTTAACATTCCCACCGACACGAAATTTTGACATGCTAATTTCTTCACCTTAAAGAGTAAAATTTGGACAATAAAAGTCTAGCATCCATTTTGCACGTCTTTCTTTCCATACATTTATTGTTTTTTTAATTTTATTTTTTCTTTTATAAATTTACTCTTTGCCTTTGCTGTTATCGGTGTTCAAAGTGATTCTCAATTAATTTTAACAATAATAACTAACACTTTGTTTTGTTATATTCACACCGAATTGCAAATTATTTTTTGCACTCAAAATGTGTTACCCCCTTCAAAAGTGCTTGCGCAAGAATTTCTCTAATAAATTTATGTGCGTAGGCACTAATTAATTCTAATTAATTGGTAAATTGCTTTGTTGACAAACAATTAGAAAGTACTCGTGCTTGATTTTGATTTTACTAGTGATATTTTTAGCACATTTTTTTTTCTTTTGAAAAATTAGATGAACTTTTTTATATACTCATACTTGGTGCTGGTTTGCTCAAAATATGCAGAGTGCAAATGTGGAAAAGCGAAATTTGTTGCCTGGCGATATTTCTTCTGAAAATGTAGTGATCTACAGATTTCAGCCGCCGCCGAACGACTGATGGACTTGAATGACTATATTTTTTAGTTAATCAATTTTTTTCTTAATTTTCTTAAAAGACTATTTGGCCAGAGTTTGAACTCATAACCTTTTCGGTTGTTAAGTTTTAGTGATCGCAACAAAAACTTCTTTTATAGCTCCCAGCAGTGGTCGTGACATCTGTTGGAAAGTAATCGTAAATTTTAATGCCAATTAATTGATGACAAGGTTGCATTCGGTAGATGTTTACCCAGTGTTAAAAGAATATATTGTTTATTTCTTTTAGTTTTATTTTCCTTTACATTGTTGTTTTTGTATGTCTTTTGGGCAGTGAGCCGGCGCGAACGGTCTTCAAGCCAGTTCCAATGACTAGGCAGGTTTTGTTGTATGTTTGGTGGGATTGGTAAGTAGTTCTACACTCCTCACCTACGGCCAAACTCTCATACGCATTTTTACTGTTCGCAATTCCGTACGTATGAAGAGAGCAATCGCTCAGAAGTGTCCTGCTTTAGCCTACAGGAGGAGAAGCGTGCCTCATCAGGATAACACTAAACCACACACATCGATAGCGTCTCGCCAGAAGCTCCGAGAGCTTGATTGGGAAGTTCTTATTCATCCATCTTATAGTCTGGACCTAGCAACACGTGATTACATATTCTAGCATCCATGGCGAATGATTTGGCTGGTGAAGAATTACATTCAAGAGAAGCCTGTGAAAATCGATTATCGCAATCTTTTGCCAAGAGCGGAGAGGGTTTCTAAGAGAGTGGCATAAATTTATCGAGCAATCGAAATATTCTCAGATAATTAAACAAAACCTTCAAATTAATGCAAAAATAATTAATTTTTATTGGAGCAATATTTTAGAAACTCAACTTATCATTTATTTATTTCCATATATGTATGTACCCACCAATTTGTTATGCCTTTTTCTTATCCAGAATTATTTAAGTGCAAACCACTTTGGGACTTTCCGCAAATCTAAAAAAATAATGAAACCAAATAATAATAGTACAACAATTAGTTTTTTCAGACAATCGCAATAAAACATTAATCTTAGAGCAATAAGAACAATTGTATATTTATATTGCACGCAATATTTAAATATGCTTAATCATTAAAAAAAAATATATATGTACATATGTGCATACACTGCGCCTCATCAGATTAGCGCCGCCGCCTATACTTCGTTTCTACTTCCCGTAAACAATATTTATTGTTTGTTAAACAAAATTCCCCTCTCTCTCTCTTTGAGAGTAACAATATGCAGAGGATCCAATATTTTTATTTTCTTTAACTTTCATGATTAAATTAAATTTTTTGTGCAGGTGAATTGAAAAGTTTGATTAAAATTATTATTTGGAGGAAAAAACCAAAATCGTAGCATATTCAAAACAAAAACAAATATCAATAATTAAAAATCGTTGTAATTTTTTTTTAAAATATTCTAAATCGAGATATTCTTTTGCATGCGCTTGAACCACTTGTCGAAGCACTTTTGTCACCCTGAACCAAAAAACGTCTGTTCTGAACAGATCCGCATCCACTTCGGGTGTCAAAAAACGATCTAACTTCGGTGGGTGGTTTTTGTCGATTTCTGGAAAGACAACTGGCAAACAAATAGTAGATGGTCGACAGGTATACTTGTCCGTGAATATCGCCGACAAAAGTAGTACACCTGAAGGTTTCCACTACACGTGTACTTAGTTTATATTCAACGGGGTTTTCACCGAGTTGAAAGAAAGTTAGTGAGGGGAGTTTGACCTCCGCAATTTTTACAACAGTAGAGTATATTCGGAAGAGGGATTCCATCTCACCGAACGGAAGACCAGTGGAGGGTGTCCCACTCATATGCGCACGTATGTCCAAACATGCTGACTGTGTAAAACACCAAAAATGTCGAACACTGGGGTTGTCAAATCCCGAAATATAAAATGCAACCCTGAACAGCTGATTAAACCAAGAGATAGCGCAAACCATTGCCAATTTTTCTTATACTAAGGAAAATTATGGAAACAATGGTAAGGGCGGCAATACCTGTACGATTACTGAAGCAAAAGGCAGGTCCTTTACTCGGAGTAGCCCAACTCTCACGACTCCAGCGCAAAAATCAGAGCAAAGGTGGTGTAAAAACTTAGTTTTTAAATTCGGGTTTCTTTTGAAATTGTGAAACCAGCAGTGCCCTATGGGTTCGTATTGTGATAATATAAAAGTTCGTTTCTTTGGTCCACCGTATATGTAAAGCTCTTCCTAACAAGAGAAACCACGTATTATTAATTTTTATTATTGTTTCAATAGAAAAATAAATTTGTTGAGTTAAACTAATAAAGTAATTTTGATTTACAAAATTTTGTATTATTTTTATTTTCTTTTCAAGAAAACCCTAAAAAAAATGCAATTGAGTCCCAACTGATATTTTCATTGAAATAATTTTTTAAATTTTGTTGGTAAAAATTGTATAGCTCTAGTTGAACGAGTCTGTATAATAATCCGCATCAAATGATCATACCCAGGTGGGAGAGAGAAGCCAACCTAATGATATGCAAGTGTATATGTATAGTGATAATAGAGAGAGTGCAATCATAAAAAAACACTCTTTATTCTATATCACACTGAGTGTAGATTAAACCGTAAAAAATAAAGATATGAATACGAATAAACACTAATTATGTTATTTTCCTAAGCAAAATAGATAATTCCAATTATAGATAAATGTTAATAAATGTTGAAATAAAATAATGAATAAAGACACTAAATCAATTAATTCGAGATAACTTTGATGTAATTAGTATTAGCAAATAAACATAACAAAAAAGTTATCATAAGATTTATAGTAAAACATTTTTTATGGTACGTTTGTTTGAAACACAAAAAAAATACTGTTTTGAAAGGGTAAGATATTATCTTTCGTGGACAGTTCCAAGAGAGACTTGACAACTGAAATGCACTTTTAATGTATTAAAACAATTCCCTATCAAATTCCAACATCAAAATCAACATAGAAACGTATGCATGTAAAAAGTATTTTTAAGAAGAAATAAAGGTAAGGAATCAATGCTGGTGGAAAATGAGTTAAGATCTAAAAGGCGTGTGGCATTCCAAGATTTTTATCTGCGTAAACACAATAAAAAGGCCCTAAAGTGTCTAGATGATGTTAAAGAGATGGTTAAGTTAAGCTCGCTAAGTAGACATCAGTTATTAATAACACCTCTTATCCAATTAGTTTTAGTTCAAAATAAAACTCCAAGCAACTTTCTATGACTATGAAATATAGGCAGTTCAATGAGCTCTAAACGACTTTAGTATTGGATGAGTGCATAAGTTCGTGCCCGATTTCAAAGAAAGCGCTTTTATTAATCGATTATGTATTCCCAACGTTCAACCAATTTACGGATGCCTGATTCATAGAAATCGCGCGGTTTCTCGTTGAAAGAGGTGTCAAGGTGGTTTTTGACGTCTTCCACATTTTTAAATTTTTTTCCATTCAAATTGTTCTGCAGCGATCGAAACAAATGATAATCAGAAGGTGCAATGTCGGGTGAATATGGGGGATGCGGCATGATTTTCCAATCTTCCATGCGTCTTTTCACTAAGCAACTCAAATCAAAATTTTATGCTTGATTTACAGTTCGGACTGTCACTTTTCCAACGATATATAATATGAATATATTTCTTTCACGAGCGCCACTCTCAAACGATTCGAACGGCATCCAGCGGAATCGGGCACGAACTTATGCACTCATCCAATAATATATGGGTTCTTGGACTTCTTTGGTCCATCTTTTAATGAAAGCTAAGACGCCTTTGCCTTATTATATATATATTTGGCGCTATGTAACCGCTCGGCCGAGCTCTTCCTCCAATTTGTGGTTTTTTGAATAGACCTACAGTTTATACTAAGCCGCCTCCGAACAGCTGATGGTTTTTTTATGAGGAACCTTATTTCATGTCAGGAATACACTTAGGGGGGGGAAGTTGGTTGACGTTCGATGCCGAGGGGCGACCACAATTAGAAAATTTAACATAATTTTGGATGTTGGTCGCACCACTTGGCTACCGCGGCCGCCACAAGAAATTTTATGATTTCTAAAATCTAGCTTAGGGTCCATTGCGACACCTAAATCGATGAAGTCAGGAAGAATGTTCAACATTGTGATTTATTATCATTTACGCAAAAGATTGGAAAGATTTTCTGGAGAAACACATATATTTGCACTTGTTTAAATTTAGGGACAAACAGTTCACATCACACCACCTAACTAAATCAATTAGATCAAGTTGCAAAAGTTGCCTATCTTCAATATGAAAAATTGATTTAAAGTGCTTGACATTATCTGCCTGCATGAATAAATTTAGAATGAATGAAGAACCACATTTGGAAAGTCATTGATGATTATAAGGAAGGGAAGAAAGGCTAAAATGCCGAAGTGACTACCATGTGGAACACCAGATGTTACTGTTATTTCACGTGATGTACAACATTTAAAAGTTACATTTTGTTTTCTACCAAATCAGTACGATGAAGTCCACTTGAGAATGGAAGGAGGAAGCACAAAATGATCGAGTTTAAATTAAAGTAAAGAAAAATATGCCTTGCTGAAGTCAGTGCAGATAAGAATTTGATAAGCATATTTAATCCATAACTGTCATGGGTGGTGAATACTAACAGGTTCGGTATGTTAGAATTACCTTTAAAAAACGCATGTTTTGAACTGTCAATAATTGATGGCACACATGATAATAGAACATAGTTTTTTATCCCTCTATGATTTTTTAAAGAAAATCAATTACAAGATTTATATAAAAATCATATTTATGTTTCGATTTATTTGAAATTCTTTTTTAATAAGAAGTGGATCGATCTAATGTATTTGAAAAAAATCTACATATTCATGGTTATAGTTAATTTTTGAATGATTTACCTAAATGTAATACTTTTTTCCCATGGAAATGAAACAGAGACCTGGAACTAATGTGAAAAGAAAGAAAGAAAAGAAATCACCTGCAGATTGACAAATAATTGGTATAAAAGCATAGATCGTATTTTTGCTTAGCTTACTTCGAAGCATTCATTTTGGCATTTTCTTGAAAGACTTTGTGCAGCGAAGAAGTGACACACACATACAAATAAGTAGTTAGGTCAATGATATAATAAAAAAAAATCTAATATTTTGACTTAGATGAAGTTTTTATCGTTCTTTACAATATCAATTAATAAAAAAAAATCTTATTAAGAACAAAAATTGGATAAAATCCGGAAAGTCACAGCAATGCGCGGCCTCGTCTGCTAGTTAAGGCGGTAGTCTGCTTTAAAGGCTTCAAAAGCTTCACTTCCATTTCTTAAATCTATTCTAAAACTATACAAGAAGTGGCCGAGCGTCGAGCAGAGCTTCAAAGCGCGTTTTTTTCGAGTTTCATTTTTACAAGTCTTAGATATTAGTAGAATATATATCCGGCCAATGAAAAAATCAAAGTAATCTAGCTTCAATATTAAATCATCTGTTTGAACTAAAAAAGTTGTACAAAAAATTTTTTAAACAAATTTTTTTTTTTTTGAACTTAAAGTGATTTTTTCAAACCATAACAAAATTTGGAGCTTTCCAAATTCTTCGGTATTTTTTAGTTCATATAGAAGAGACACTCGTTAAAATTAAAAAGAAAAAATTGCTTCGACTATTTCAAATTAGAGCTTAAGATACCCGGATAACGAGCACTGTGAACAGCTCGATACTCGTTCGTTGCTCAACTGATCATTTGATTGTTTGAAATTTTTCAAACTTCAATTGAAAAATGCTCGAAAAAGCTTAAATATAGTACATTATTGCTCGCTTTCAAAAAATTTATGTAAAAATTCATTTTTCGGGTTGTAAAGGATGTTGGAAGTAAATAAAATAAATAAAAAAGTATATATAGCGATTTTCGGCCGAGCTTCTCCTCCAATTTGTGGTATTGCGTTTTTATGCTTTTCCAACGAATGGAAT